GTGGCAGCTTTGCTGCTTCCAGTTCCTTCAGCCCTGCTGGCTCTGGGTGTCCGGGCTGAGGCTGCCCCTGTCCTCCCCCCAGGACAGGGACTTTCTGTCCATCCCCTGCCTCTGGAGATGCCAACTCTGACTTCATTCCCCTAATGGATGACTGTCTGGCCCCAGCGGCTGCTGCAGGCACCTTGGCCCTGGCTACACTTGGCTCTGTCACTGCTGACTGATGAGGGTCATTTGCAAAGCTGCTGCTGGTGGGACCCATCCTGACCCTCCCCGGGCCAGCTGAGGGAGTTCGCTGTGTCTTCCTCCTGCTGGCCTTCATTGCACACCCCAGAGAGCTGTGGTCCCCCTGAGCAGGAGGTGGCACTGGCTGAGGCTGGGCCCTGTGGAGGGGAAGCAGAGCTGGGAGCTGGCAGACCCTGCTCAGAGCTGAGCCCTGCACAGGCATCATCATCAGCCACCGGTTTTCAGGGCAGCTGAGCTCAGCATCACTGCCTGGATGGACCCGGAGCCATGGCCTGGCAGGGGGAGCTTGGGGATGTGCCTCCGGTCTCCCAGGAAAAGGTGATGCTCTGGAAGGGGATGGAGGCTCTTATGCTGAAAAGAGCATGTTCTGGGAACTGCTGACCCCTTCCCCATGCTCCCCTGGGCCTGCCCTGCCCCTTCTTCTGGCTTGTCCCCCTACCCTGGCTGGGGTTTGCCCTCCTGTTTCCCAGCCAGGATATTTTAAAAGGCAGAGAGAGGGTCCCCTCACCCTTCTGCCACCCTAGCCCTGCTCCTAGGGCAGGGTGCTGGGGCAGATTGTCTTTGGAATACCAGCTCCTCCTGACAGATGTGCCGTTGCCCCTGGGGCCAAGCAGGGGCTGTGGGAGCTGCATGACCCACCCCATGGCTGCTGGTGCTCTGCTCCCATCCTGAAAACGGTGCTGTGCCCGGGTGCTGAGCTGGGGACACTGGGGGAGTCTCGCCGCTGTGGGATGCGCATCTTCCACTCATCGTGATGATGCATTTATTGATGGGTTACTGAGAGTGAAGGGGGAGTTCTGGCACTGCCTGTTGGTTTGTTATTGTAGGGTCTTTTCTAGCAGGAGAGTGCTGTGGAAGGGGTGGGTTGGTCTCCCTAGCCAGCTGTCACTGGGAGGATGCTGGTGGCTCTGGCTCTTGTGGGGAGGACAGGGACATGGTTATGCATTGAGCTGACCCCGGCTCCTGCTTTCTCTCTGGAGAGACACAGGAGCAGGCCAGACTTGGGTCCTCCCTGGGAAGGAGATAGTCAGCCCAGCACCGTGTAACCCCCTGATATGGCAGCACCGGCTGGATCCAGCCCCCAAGGATTCATCAGCTGCTGGTGGCTCAATACAAAGTTGTCCATGGCCATCTGGGTGGTGGTCACTGCTGGAGCCTGGGACCTGCCTGCTGTGGGTGCCTTCAGAGCCAGTGTTCAGCAACCTCTTGGATTAATTTCAACAGTGCGTGGAAGTGGGGATGGGAAATCCCTTCCCCTTTTGGTGCTGCCCGAGGATGGAGGCTCCGTTTGTGTGTGTGCGTGTTTCGGAGTTGCTGAGCTGTGGAGTGATGCATGGGAAGCGACAAGCCACTTAACCTGGCGGACCTCCTGCCGCAGACAAAATGCTGCCAGCCCTTTCTGTGGGCTTGTTTTGTGCCAGCCACTCGATGGCTCTTGCAGGGGGGGGGAGG